GGGGCAGAGAGAGAGGGAGATACAGCATCGGAAACAGGCTCCAAGCTCCGAGCCATCAGCCCAGAGCCTGACGCGGGGCTCGAACTCACGGACCGCGAGATCGTGACCTGGCTGAAGTCGGACGCTTAACCGACTACGCCACCCAGGCGCCCCTGTGCATTATTGATATTACATATTAATAACATAATTTTTTTTCTAAGGGTCTACTCCAGAGAATCAACCAGGTAGGTCTAAATCATATTATATATTATAATAAATGTGCTGTCTTCCTTATTAAATCACACTCATTTAAAATACAGAAAAGGGGGTGGGGAGGGGAAAAAAGAAAAGAGAAAAATAAACAAACAAACAAATAAAATGTAGATAAAAACACTAGTTTCCTAACAACATTTAGAATGTGGCTATAAGATTTTTCATAAATAACACATTTTATTTTCTCTTAATTAAGAAGACAAACTTAAAACTTACTGATAATCATTACTTTAGAAGGTTTAAAGCAACTTATAGGGGCACCTGGCTGGCTCAGTGGTAGAGCATGTGACTCTTAATCTTGGTGTTGTGGGTTCGAGCCCACATTGGGTATAGAGATTACTTTAAAAAAATAAAATTTAAAGTGACTTGTAAAAGTAACTTTTCACATATTTAATCTTGAAAGAATTGTAATTTTTCAGACAAAACAAACCATTACTTCATATATTTATTTCATTTGCCTGCTCTCTACTTTGCCCAGAGCATGCACAATAGAAATATCTATTAAAAAAATTGGTACCTCAATTCTGGAGAAGAAAAAAGTTCTGAAATTGTTTTAAAAATGTGCCAAAGTCCATACCTGATTTTTTAATGATGAAAGAATATATTCTTTTTCATGGCGGGAGATTGCCTTGTGAGTTTCAGGCTTATCACTAACTAACAAGATCCATAAAATAAACCAAATGATGCCAACTATACCTTAGAATAGAAAAATAAATTAAATAAAATTAGAATGCACCAACAGCAATTTTAACATATCTTGAAAAAATTATGGAATCATAAACTTAGTGTAAAATTGGTTTCAGCTTAATGCTGATTTCAAGTTCCACTCATATCTTAATGGGATATTTGCTATCTGTATCATCTCCTATAAGTTGGGAACAGAACAATTTTAACCACATGAGTCTGCCTCTCAGAGTTTACCAAATATTTAAAAAAATAAATGTCCACAACCTATTATTTCCACAGGTATCTGGTTTTGCTTGATTTGTTTTTTGTTTAGATTGCAGATGTATTTTCTGCATGAAATGTCTACATGGCAATCTCATTTATTAAAAACATGAATCAACCTGCTAATGAGATTGAGAAATGAAAAGCCCTGGGACTGAATAAAAAGAAAAAAAAAATTAAAACTACCAAGTGAGGGCATTCTACTTTGCTTGAGAGAAAAAAAAAAAAAAACTTTTCAAAATATAAATTTTTATAATAACCAACACAGTAAGTTTTGATATTTCGTATGGCATTAAAGTCTTGAATTCAACAGCAGTTTCTACTGAGAAATATTCCAAAATTAACATCATGTCATAACTAGATCATTTTAACCATATAAAGTTAAAAAACAGATTGTCAGTATTTTAGAACTTTGTACTTTTAGGAGTTGGTAACCTCAGTGATTTGGAATATACATTTTTAAACAATTATTAGGCTTCTATTACATTTTGCATTTGTTACATTATGATTTAAGTTAAATTTTTGAATAAGCTTACCAAAAAGGTAGAAGACATAAGTCCAATTCATATAGAAGCAAATTATTCCAGAAAGAGGAAGAGAAATTACTGTCCCAAGCTGTGCTCCTAGAACAACAAAGATTTTGTAAACTTTAAAGAGAAATGAACAAGGAGGGGACAGATTTATTGCTTAAAGGAGATGGCTAACAGATTCTCTCAAGGAATCATTTACTAGAAAATCCACAGTTTATAAAATGTACACATTAATATGTAATTACATTAGTTACAACTACGTAGCTGTTGATGAATTAGAATGTATCATCAATATAGGACCTATCATAACATGAGCTAGTAAATGACACATTACTAGTAAATGTGTTAGAAATCCAGGGGGAAGGTTCAAATATGGTCTCTAAGGCTGATAAACATAATGTACTGCAGTATACTTGATTATATAAGAATGAAGCTTTTAGTAATGTACTTTGCCCAAAATATATTACAAACAATTGTCTCAGATAAATAAATAATGAAATTCTTTTTTTTTTTTGTTTTTTTTTGTTTTTTGAGAAAGGGAGAGCATGAGTGGGAGAGAGGGGCAGAGGGAGAAAGGGAGAGAGAGAGAGAGAGAGAGAGAGAGAGAGAGAGAGAGAGAATCTTAAGCAGGCTCCATGCTCAGAGCAGAGCCCAATGCAAGGCTTGATCCCATGACCCTGGGATCATGACCTGAGACGAAATCAAGAGTTGGACACTTAACCGACTAAACCACTCAGGTGCCTTGAAATTAATTTTCATCATCAAATAGAAGATATCTTAATAGGTACAGTGGCAGCTAAAATAATCAGATATTGTTTCTGGTCTCAAGTTTTAGTCTTATGTAGGAGACAAAAATAAACAAATAATTATCACATCTTAGAAAGTGTTAAGTGTCACAGGGCAATGCGGAAGTTCAAACATGGGACAGATTACCTCTGACTTATAGAGGTCAGGAAAAGATATATGAAGCAGCAATAGACTCTGAAAGACGGGTGAGATTTTTGTCTTGTAGAAACAAGGTAAGAAAGATGATATGGAGGCAGATGTAATAGGAGGAGTAAAGGAATGGATGTAGGGAAGCAGAGAGTGAGTTTGGGAACTTCACTCGGGTAAAGGAAAGGAATAGAAGGTAAAGGCTGGAAAAATAGGTTGGGTAGTTACTGAATATCTACTTTACTTCAGACACTGTGTGTCAGGGACCAGGCTAGTGGTGAAGACTGTAAAGAATCTTGACCCACAGTTCAGGCTTAGACTTTACTCAATAGGTAAAGAGGACCCACAGGTAGTACCTGCTCATGAACTATCATCAGATTTCTCACATCAATCTCTACATTGCTGTCAGAATCATTTTCTTAAAATGTAAATCGGATCATGTCTCTCTCTTGATTCAAAACCTCTGATGTCTCCCCATTGTATTTTGGAGGAAAAAAATCCCAAATCTACTTTTCTTCCTGTGGCCTGTAAGGTTTGATATAATCTGGCCCATGTATATTTCTCCAACCTCATCTTATGCCATTATGCCCTTTATTCATTAAGTGCTAGCCACCCACAGTGGTTTTTCATTTCTTTGAACTCTTATGTCCTGCCTGAGAGTCCTTGTACATGCTGTTCTGGTTGGCTGGAATGCTCCTCCTTCTGCTCTTTGCATGACTGATTCATTCTTATCCTTCAGATTTTAGCTTAAAAGTCACCACAGAGAGGTCTTTCTCAGCCAATGTATTTAAAAGCAGTCAGTCCAAAAGTTTTCATTCAGTGTATGATCTGGTAAAATTATAATTCATATATAAAGCTTATGCTATCTCACCCATAGATCAAAATGTTGGCAAATAAATGCAGAGAAAAAAGATGTATGAAGAGAGAGACTGAGAATCATGATATGCTCATGAGACAATCAAATGAGAAATCAGAAGGGGCACCTGGGTGGCTCAGTTGATTAAACGTATGACTCTTGACTTCAGCTCAGGTCATGATCTCACGGTTTGTGAGTTTGAGCCCCACATCAGGCTCTGTGCTGGCAGTGTGGAGCCTGCTTGAGATTCTCTGTCTCCCTCTCTGTCCCTCCCCTGCTCGTGCTTTTTTTCTCTCTCAAAAATAAATAAACATTTACCAAAAAAAAAAAATTGAAATCACACTTTAAGGACAAAAGTGTTCAGCTTTCCAGCTATTGGACCTTAAAAAAGAAAAAAAAAAAAAAACCCGTGGCATTCACATCTGAATGGGCAACATGTTTTGAAATAAATGACGGCAGATGGAGAAAATGATATTAGTTAAGTAAGCCGCATTGCTATATGTTAAGCCAAAGAAAAAAATTAATAATAAAATTATATCTCTAAAACTTAATTTTCATGTAAAGGAGGCATCTAACATCATTCTGGTGTGCAGGTGTTTTTTTTTTTTTTTTTTTTTTTTTTTTTTTTTTTTTTTTTTAATCCAAGGCTGATATACACATGTAGCAAAATTTATATAAGAATAGTTGCCTTACCCGCATATGAAATGCTAAGAAGCTTGCTTCGTTCAAGAGGGGGAGCCCAAGAAGACCACATGGCATGCATAGCTGGAAATGTAACACCCTGAGGAGAGGAAAAAGATATTTCTGCTGAAATACAAGGTAGATTTGTGAATGTTTTAAATTCAGTTGAGTATTTTGTTGTAAGAGAAATTTCTGGATAAGAATCAAACTAGAATCAGGTTCCATGAAGTGAGATGCCTCTACAGTCTTGAGTGAAAATACCTTCTAGTGAAATACTTTCGAAGTCTCAACAAAGATTGATTCTGTCAATTGGCTTGAGGACTCCAGGGTAAGGGTTACAATAAATCTGAAAGAAGGTACTGAATGATGACATAAAGGAATCCCTCTCAAGGCCAATTTTATTCATTTACTTTATTAATGGCCTGAATGAAATGGGAATATTACTACCAATATATAACTTTTAAAAATGCTGAGCTAATGTTTTGGCATACTGGAAGAAAATTCAAATTGACCTTAATCAACAAGAAAAATTGTCCTACAAAAAACCCCGATGAATTGAATTAGAGCATTTATAGTCTTCCCCGCCACCCTCAGTGATAACTAGCCTAGTAAATGCCAATTACTGATATAAAGGGGCTGGAACCGGGCAGGCAGGAGAGTCACAGAGACTTGGGAGAGGAGGAGATGCTGGAGGAGAATGGGAGGGAATAGATTTTGGTATATTCAAAGAAGTGGATTCATAGCTCTCTTTGGCCACTAACTGTGCAGCTTCACAAAGATTAGTTAACTTCCTGGAACTTCCATTTCTTTATCTGTAAAACAAATACAATACTTCCTATCTTGCACGATTGTTGTAAAGCCAATAGCTAGTGCTATTATTAGTGGAGATAAGAATAAATGCTTTAACACTTTGTACTTTCTACTGATTCCTTCAAAAACAAAAAAGGGAGCAAGAAATACCAACAGAAGGCACAAATGATTTAGGCAGCATTGCAAGTTGATAAGAATTTGTATCATAGAGCAACAACAGGATGAGTCATTACAGAATAAAGATTAAGGTGTTGGGAAACATCTACAGAGATTATGTTGTAGAAAACTTCATTATAAAACCCTAGGGACAATGTAGGTATATTTATGGTGAATCATGCTAGGGAGGAAAGATGCTGACTTAAGTTTATGGATTAGGCAATGTACATATGATATATACTGGAGGAACAGAGAAATACAAAAGAACAAACACAACTTCTGTTTAGATGTAACATGGTTACTTGAGAGAGTAGTATTAATATAACCAATACACTATAATGCTAAATTAGTGGCATAAACAGACAAGAAGCTAACATATGGGAATACATTCAGCAAGGCTATTCAATATCTGGATCAGAGAAATTATGCTGCAACGAAGTATATTTTACTTAGGTAAGGAGAAGAGGAACCTGGTAATAGGGGAGTAATTCTTATTTTGTAGTCAAAACAGTTTATTTAGTACATCTCTATTTGATAAGGACAAAATAAGATTGCTTACTAAGTGATCAAAGCTTAAATTTAAACAGTATTTGGCAATCTCTAAAGCACTCTAGCAATCATTATCACATCTGAGCTGTGACTGAGGATGGGGCACGTAGTTTAGTCCCAATTTTAAAAATGATGGAACTGAGGTCTAGAGATTAGGGCTTACCTACGGTTTCACCATTAGATACAGTGGAGTTGTTATCCAAACTCTGATCTTATGACTCTAGTCAGTGTTTTTCCAACACAGCATGTATATTGCTACTACTAACTTTCATTCTTTTTAAAAAAAAATTTTTTTTTTAATGTTTATTTATTTTTGAGAGAGACAGAGCATGAGTGGTGGAGGGGCAGAGAGAGAGGGAGACACAGAATCCGAATCAGGCTCCAGGCTGCTTCCGAGATGTCAGCACAGAGCCTGACACAGGGCTAGAACCCACGAGCTGTGAGATCATGACCTGAGCTGAAGTCGGACACTTAACTGACTGAGCCACCCAGGCGCCCCTTAACTTTCATTCTATATACCAAACCCAGAGGACACTATTTCGTTTGGGTTAAAGAAATGTTAAGAGCAAAATAAATATATGCTTCCATTTCATAGGTAGAAGCGCAAAGTTAGAAACAAAAAGAGATCATTATTTAAAGATAGAGGCATATATGATGAAATGCAAAAGAGAAGTGGAAAGGAAATGAAACATAAGGAATTAAAATTTTCAAGTGATAAAAATCTTAGGAGTAGAGGAAAAAACAGATAAAAACTGATAACAATTCTCAAAGCAGCAGAAAGGCCAGAAAAATCATAAAACCAACGATAGTTATAAAAAATGATAAATTATTTGTCTCTAAGTTCAGAACCAGAAAAAAGAACAAAGAGGAAGCTCTATGAATAACAACACATTTAAAAGTAAAACAAGGCAATTTGACAAACCATTGTGTAAAATGTGTTTTAGATCTGGGCAATCAATTAATGATAAAGGAGAGATAAACCAGCAAAAATTCAAGAGGTAAAGATGGACTATCTTAACTGTTTTAATAGTCATTTCTTGTCTTTTCTTTTTCATTTTTAAACGTTTTATTATTTATTTTTGAGAGAGAGAGAGCGAGTGAGCAAGCATGAATGGGGCAGGGGCAGAGAGAAAGGGAGACACAATCCGTAGCAGGCTCCAGGCTCTGAGCTGTCAGCACAGAGCCGGATGCGGGGCTTGAACCCACAAACTGCAAGATCATGACCTTAGCTGAAGTCAGATGTTCCTCTAGTCACTTATTTTCTTATCTCCTGAAGTAAGAGTCAGAAGACCTGTGAAGTGTTCCCTGGGAAGTGTTTTCTCTGAGTTTTTAGCAAAGCTTCCAGTTTCATCATGTTCCCACCTGAGAACCCATTGACCTCACTGATATGAAATCACTCCAATTATTTTCTAGTTATTCACTTCTCTTTTTTTTCAATTTGAGAGAGAGAGAGGGTGTGTGCAGGGGAGAGGGGCAGAGAGAGAGAGAGAGAGAGAGAGAGAGAGAGGGAATCTCAAGCAGGCTCCATGCTCAGCGTGGAACCTGAAGCAGAGCTGGATCCCACAACCCTGGGATCATGACCTGAGCCGAAATAAAGGGTTGGACACTCAACCAACTGAGCCACCCAGGCACCCCATTAATCATCCTTCTAATTAAAAAATAAGTCCTATCTTCTGATGTCAACTGTTGGTTTATATTCATACCAAAGAATGATAATTTTAAGGAGGTAAGAAAGTGATACAGGCTAAGAGGAAAAACAAAACAGAGAAAAAGATTACCTCTCCTAGTCCTTCTAGGGCCCTGAGTACAATGAGGGCTCCAACTCCAAAATCTGCAGCAACAGGAGTGAACAGGGTGAAGATGGCTGTGCCAAGGATCCCAAATCCTAGCAGCAGTTTCCCGCCCACTTTGCTGGCAATATATCCTCCAGGAATCTGGGTGATGATGTAGCCATAAAAAAAAGAACCGAGAATCCATCCTTGTGTTTCTGCATCCCACTGGTACCTTTTACCCTATAAAGAGCAGGAGGATAAAAACAAGCTTTTAAGACCTTGACTAAACAGCTCTTTTGTCTAATTGGCATCTAAGTACACATAAATGTAATTTTGAATCACTGTTTTCGAGTGAAGAACTTGCAAACTTTCTACTAGGTACGTGAGTCACCACAACACAGACATGCCACTTCTAGAAGACAATAAAAATAATTGAAAGCCGTAAACTGCAAGAAGGCTCGCTATTTTATGAAACTAGACTCTAGGATGAGGTGTAGAGGCTTTGTAATGACCATGACCAAGAAGGACCAAAAAACAGGTACAGGTTCAATCCAGAAATTCTACTAAACAGAATACTCTATGGGCTGAGCTAGGCTTTGGAGCCAGGCCTGGGTTCAAGCCTCGCTCTTTTACTTACTGGATTTGTGATCTGGGAAGTTAAATGAAAAAGGCCTGACACACACGAAGTGTTCACTTAATGTTGGTTATTAGTATGCATAAATATAGATCATTAATCTCTCCCCAATTCAGAACAAACACTTGAACAAGCACAAAGAACAAGACGAAAGAACAAGAATTTAAACCAAGCCATAAACTTCATGTGAGTAGGAAATGTCTTTTAATTAGTAGCAGCACACAGTAAGGTAATGATGAAGATTTAGTGACTAATCAGAATGTCTGACATCTTTAATGCATGTAGTTGTATCACTGAGCCAATGTGTCAAGAACAATTGCAGGATTTGTTTTTACTGCTGATATAAGGCAGATGAATACAATTTAGCTAGGTCAACGAAAGCACTTGCCAAAGGGAAAGATACAAAGCACCCCTCTAATTATCCTTATTTGCAGTATTAATTTGTAGCTTATCTGTGGAATTATTGGATTTCATGAACTGTCCAGCAGTTATAAGTCATAGGTTGAAGCAGGAAAAGTGGGTGATGTGAACCCAAATATGAATTCAGCAACATTATTAAGGTCAAATAAAAATTTTTTTGGTAAGTCACTATTTTGTATGTATGCTTGTTTAGGCAAAAACTTCCTGTACTTGAATGCTCTTGTTTATAAATGGCAGAGGAGACTAACCCAAGTGTGATCTGGCTTCTTCGTGAACCCTGGGAATGGATGAAAATATGCTCATAAAAAAGGACACCAGCCTTTTCTCCTTTTCTCTCTGTCTGATAAGCAAAATAAAGTGTTTAAAGTATATAAAACTCAATTCTGAACAAATGATGAGCACACACTTATCAATTCTACTATAACATGAAGCAGGCAAAGTGACTTAAGCAGTTTAGGTTAAGCATAACGTAAGTTTTAGAAAAAGAATGTCCTAAAAGACTGACCTGTTCTTATTTTTCATACTGCAGATGACCCAAGCTTTCCTGCAACCATAACCTTTTAAGCAAAACAGCTATTGAACAAAAGTCCCGTAAAAATTATTCAGCAACATCTAAAACAATCAAATTTTCTGGTATGCTAAACGGGTTTTTCCAAATTATCTTCAAGGATGATTGGTATGTTTATAGAGGAAACTGAAAAACTACTTTTCAAACAGATCAAGGTGTATTACACCAAGTAGCAGTAGCTGTAGTTATGTTACTGTTCAACTAGTGCTTGGAAAAACACAAAGGAAAAAGACTCAGCTTACATGAATCAAGTGTTGATGGTTTCTATAGGATGCAGAAAGACTTTTCAGTATTTTAACTTGGTCATATTTTAGGAATAAGACTGTTTATAAAGTAGCACTTACCGTTTGATTATGAAGAACTTTTATGGGAGCAGAATGCTCTGCACACTCCTTGGAAGTTTTATTATCTGCTAAAGTCGTATTTGAATCTATCATATCCACCAATGCCACGCTCAGATTCACCCGTAATGCATAGAGAACGAAGAAACCAAAAAACGCCAACACTGCTAAGTTATAACGAGCAGAGCCGCACACTGGAGCTGAAATAAATATTGGGGGACAACTTTCACTAGAAGAATAACTTAGATGATATTGTCTAAATTACTAAAAAGGTTACTTTTTAGAAGTACACAAATTCATAAATCATGAATATTTTTCTGAGAATAATCTCAGGTTGAGCATATCTGAAAACATTTATCAAAGAGAATTTGTTCTCAGCAGCTGTAGTTTTGATAAACATGTAACACATGAGAGCCTGAACTATAAGACAGTTTTTTAAAACACGAAGGCAATAGCTTTACCAACTCTGCTCAGAAAGATCTCCATTACAGCCTCAGAACTGTCAGTTGACAAAGATATGAGAAAAACAGATAAGGGGTTTAATGGCATCACTATTTCTGAAAAACTATCTAAATCATGGCCGATAAGTACTAGAGTATTCACCACAGCATAGCACACATACTACTGACTATGGATTAGTGGCCATCTCACTGTAATTGTAGCACAGCACAAAAATTTCCTGCCAAGGCTAGGGCCTGAAATTCCTCTTGATAAATTTCTTACCTTGAAAAGTATCCTCAGAGGCTGGGTTTGAATCAGAAGCCATGATTAACACTTAAGGTCCTCCTAAACTAAATGTGTTTAAGAATCCAGAAGCAAACTTGCAGAATCTATGACAGTTGCAGCATCTGTGACAGTTGCTCAGTTGCTCATGCTTAAAGGGCCCACATTAAAAAAGGAAGTAAGTGAAGGTACCACAAGGATAAAAAAAAAAAAATGAAGGCGGAATGGCTGGAGGAACCAATGAAAGAAAGATCATGTGAGAGGAGGAGTTTTGATCTATTTTTTACTATAATTACAGGCGTATGCACATTATTCTGTCTCTTGCTTCTTTTTTTTTTTTAATTTTTTTTTTTTAACGTTTATTTATTTTTTTTTGGGACAGAGAGAGACAGAGCATGAACGGGGGAGGGGCAGAGAGAGAGGGAGACACAGAATCAGAAACAGGCTCCAGGCTCTAAGCCACCAGCCCAGAGCCTGATGCGGGGCTCGAACTCACGGACCGCGAGATCGTGACCTGGCTGAAGTCGGACGCTTAACCAACTGCGCCACCCAGGCGCCCCTGTCTTTTGCTTCTTTTACTGAGTTGCAGAATTGGAGAGGGGACAGGAATTTAGGAAGTTAAGGTTGATTGATCCCTTAGTGACAGAGAGAGTGGCTAATCCAGGGTCTTACACCTTTAAGTTTGGTGAGCACTGAGAGAGAAATAGCTGTTGAAAGACATGAGCATCTGTTTTACTTGGTTCAATACCTATATATGAATATAAGTATGCTTTATTTGGGTAATTACATATTAATACTACATACACATTTTTCCCCTACTCAGGAATCCTGGTGTTTTCATTTACCTACCCTCAAACAAAAATATGTTTTTCAGAGTACAAAGGTCTTGGTACTGATTCAGACTGAAGCATTAATGAATATGGCATGACTATACTTAGGGATGTTCTTAAATACTATGATCAAACTCACTTTCCTATAAGCCTTCAGACACTTAACAACTGCTATCAGTGTTTCTTCTGTGTAGGCATTACATCACTTATGACAGAACTTTTCAATTGACTCCTTTTGGAGGAGTACAGCTATTAGAATTATGGCACCACTGCCATTGTTAGACCTAGATCTGTGAGAACTGTATTTCTAAAGCTCCATTCATGCTGTCTGTGTTACCTGAATCTAGAAATGTTTGCTCTCTGCTTCAACCAATGGGCTGCTATCTAGTTAGGGAGGCTTTGGATAGTGCAAGGCATGTTTTATCATTGCTCTGTGCCAGTAATACAAAGAAATCTGGATGGGGCCTCATAATCTTGCCAAATTTGGACAACCAAAATGTGTTACTCGGTGTAATTTGGAGTAAGAAAACTCCAGATATATGTACTGTCTGCTTTGCCAAAGTATTATTTACAAAGTTCATTACCTACTTCAGCAGAGGAGTGACAACAGGTAATTGTGGTTTCAAGAGCTTCTCTGGTTGCTGTGTGTAAATTACAAAGGGAGAAAAGTGTGAATCATGGTAGAAGATGTAGACTCAGAAAAATCACTTAAGGGACTATTAGAGTTTTTCAGGAAAGAGATGAAGGTGGCTTTTTTTTTTTTTTTAAAGTTTATTTATTTTTGAGACAGAGAGAGACAGAGCATGAACGGGGGAGGGTCAGAGAGAGGGAGACACAGAATCTGAAACAGGCTCCAGGCTCTGAGCTGTCAGCACAGAGCCTGACGTGGGGCTTGAACTCACAGACTGTGAGATCATGACCTGAGCCGAAGTCGGCTGCTTAACTGACTGAGCCACCCAGGCGCCCTGAGATGAAGGTGGCTTTAACTAGGATAAAGCAGAGGCAATGGAGAGAAATGGGCAGATTTAAGATAAATTTAAAAGCAGAACTGACTGGCCTTGCCTACATATTAGATGTGGCAGTAAGTGAAAGGAAGGGGGTAAGTTACTAGTAATTCAGCTTACTAATTAGTCCAGACAACTTTATTTTATGCTATTCTGACTTGTAATGTTATTACTCCTTTCTATCCTATTTGCAGTTACCATATTTTATTGTAATCAGTTTCTCCCCATGTGATGCTTTATTTGGACTATGACATACCCTTTTTGTAAAAAATTTTAATGTTTTGTTTTTATTTTTGAGAGAGAGAGACAGAGAGACAGAGTGCAAGTGGGGGAGGGGCAGAGAGAGGGAGACCCAGAATCTGAAGCAGGCTCTAGGCTCTGAGCTGTTAGCACAGAGCCCAACACAGGGCTCGAACTCATGAACCACAAGATCATGACCTGAGCTGAAGTCAGATGCTTAACAGACTGAGCCACCCAGGCGCCCCTGGATTTTGATATACCTTATCCTATGAAGAAGATGTAGGGCTATAAGTTGGTGGTATTACTTGAAAATATGACAAAGAAGTTATGGATCAGACAATTTTAACTTTCTGGGGGCACGGTGAATAATCAGAAAATAAAAAAACACAGATGTCACAAAGTATATGACTATGAGGTTTTAAGAGATACTAAAAATACATGGTTGCTACTTTATAAAAATGGTTATTGCTTACAAATCAGTCAGAAAAATTTTATTTCAAGAAAGTATGATGATTAGACAAGATGTGCCTGTGAATTTGGATAATGTTTGAAATTGGTCCAACAAAAGAACGCTTGCATCATGAAGAGAGAGAACATCCATCAGGCATCTGCCACCTTGAAATCTAGTTCAAAGCAAAATCATGCTTGCATAACGAACAGAGCACCCATCAAAACAAACACCAGCTTCTAAAATATGGTTTAAACTTAGGAATGTGGAGTGGGTGTACTTGAAAGAACACAGTCTAATTTAGAGAAAAGCAGACCTGAGAATGAATCTCAGTCCTGAATCTCATCGTCTGTGTTTTTGGGGAAGTTACTTAATAGTTTTCATTCTCAGGTTTCTTGGCTCTTAGAATGAGGCAACCACAATGCACCTCACTGGGTTGTGTGTGGATTAAATGAAATACTCTAGGGAAGTTATGGTAAACACTCAGTAGAAGTGAGTTCCTTTCCTGTTCACCCTGGATAAAGTTATACCAATAAGATAGAGTGCCACCATATATGTGTGTAACAAGAAGCAAAGGAGTCACATTAAATTGCTTGTGTGTGTGTACGTGTGGGTGGGGGGTCGGGGAAGGCCTCTTGGAGAAAGGACATTTATACTAGTCTTCATCAATGAGTAGGAAGTCACCAGGCATTGAGAGTGAAGGGTAATTGTCTGGAAGCATCATCCATGTGGAATAAAGAAGAGTCAATCTCATCAATTAGCACACGGCAAGAGAAAATAATAACTCCTTGAGGCAGCAGTGAGGAGTGAAAGTGATATGCCCAGAAGGCCAGGTTTCTGTAGAAGCAAGGATGTGTGGGTGGAGGGAAGGCTGGTGAAAATCTTAGAATGCCAGGCATTTATTCATTGTGGAAGGGTTTGGCAGTGGGAAGAAGCAAGGAAGTACTGAGTAGTGAGGGAGAGACTCAGGTGGAAAATTCATGGTTGGGAGCACTGACCCATGCAGATGATGATTTTCCCTAAAGGAAGGGGGACACTGGACACAGTGAGCACCCTTGGCCCAAGAACTGCATTACAAAAAAATTTCCTATTAGGGTGCCTGACTAGCTCTTGATCTTGGGGTTGTGAGTTCAAGCCCATGTTTGGCATAGAGATTAAAAAAAAATAAAAATCTTGAAGGTGACTGGGTGGCTCTGTCGGTTGAGTGTGTGACTTAGTTCACATCATGATCTTGTAATTTGTGAGTTCGAGCCCTACATTGGGCTCGCTGCTGTCAGTACGGAGCCCCGCTTCAGATCTTCTGTCCTCCTCTCTCTCTGTCCCTCCCTTGCTCACACTCTCTCTGTTTCAAAAATAAACATAAAAAAAAAAAAAAATCTTGAACACAAATACAATATGTTTTGCCTTTAAAAAGGGTAATATTCAACTAGTCTTACTCTGCCTTATGGGTAATTAATTCCTGATAAATCTTTATGTATTCTTAGCTCCCAAATTAATACCCATTTATGTGAAAACACCAAATTCCACTAAAATGGATTCAGTTACACAACATGACCCAAATGACCCAATGACCCAAGGCCATTTGCCTTTGTTCTATAACATGGTTGCTCTCTACCAGCACACCATAACTTACATTTAATACACAAAGTATATTTGTGAAACTCAGTGCTTGTGTAATTGAGCCCTGAATGTAAGCCCTGCAACAGAACAGTAGAGGCAAAAAACAAAAGGAAACACCACTCTCCCCATTAATGAAAACAAAGCATAGAATGAACTGTTACAAGTTAGGAATCACAAGTTCCAATAGGGTGTGACCATGAAGAATGGGGGCGTCATTTACCTGTGCCGAGATTCTCTGAGGAATGCAAAATCCAAATGGTCTTCACTGATAATAATGATAATAATGATAATAATAGTAATAGTAACATTTACTATGTGCCAAACTCTTCTAGGCACTTCCTATTAGCTCATTTAATCCTCACAGTAACCCTGTAAGTTTGATTTATTGATAAGGAATGCATAGAGAGCTTAGGTAATTGCTAAAGCTCACAGAACAAGTTAGCAGAGCTGGGTTTGGAAGTTAGTTAGGCACTCTGGCTCCAGATCCATGCTCTGTCTTTAAACACAAAGAAATGTCTTAGAAGCCCTAAAACTCATTTCTCCTGAGTGAACACATTTTTGGTGCAACAGTATTTTGATAATCCACTTAATCAAATATAAGGCACATGTCATTCATACAAAAGTAAACCTTCAACTGGTATAAAGCGTGAGGAATGCATTTTTATGTGTGGGAGGGGAAGCTTTGCTCTTCCTTGCTTAGTTCCCTCCCTTCCTCCTACCTAAATTAAGCAGAAAAATCTATAGACTTCCTATTGTTTATCAGTGTTGGGCCAGCTTTCCCCCATCATTTTGGTGTGCATCTCTGAAATCCACCAGGCTGAGTAAAAGCAAATGCTTAAGAGGCAAACAATAATTGGGTTACTGAAAATTCCATCATATTACATCAACCTGAGTGGTATTAATTCTTAACACTAAAGAAACATATCTTAATTTTAGCTCTCTTAATAAAGAAACACTATGTATAATTTAAAACCATGTCCTCTTACTGATGGTGGAGTAGGGAACTTGTAAATTTGTGATGGATCAAGTAAAAATGATTAAGCATTTTTCAAATACGAACTTCTCAAATATAACACAAATATGGCTACATGCAACCTTTGGGATGTAACCTCTGTGGCCCTCGGATGTCTATGTATACAATGATGCACCACCAGATGGTAGTTTCTAAGTTCTTTTTACTACTGTAAAATTTTACAACTGATATTTTATCAGCTTTTCTCTTCTTAAAATCAGAAGTATACACTTAGGCATAGATAAGGTACAGACATATATATTTTCTCAACTGCAACAGAATATAGTAGTCTCTAGGGAATATCTTGATTATGGCATTTGTTTCTGTATTTCCATAATAGATTATTTTACAGAAGAAAATTATAGAAAGCTAACAGCTATGCCACAGAAAAAGTGCAGTTTACGGAACTAAGTCCAATTTCTAGGTAAAACGTCACTGGTACAGTATTTACACTGAGCCTCCTCTAAAATAAGCTCCCAGCTGCTGGATGGAGCTCTGACGTTGCCACATCTACTGCCACCATCTGGTAATGTTAAAAACAAATAAAAAAGATACCACAGGACTACTATTCTTGGTCAGGAAAAGTCAAATTTCTAATTCAACTCTGTTTCTCATGCACACATCTTTGAAACTACAGAATGCCTGCAAACGGATTTGTTCTTTATTTTTAATTACTTTCAAAGAAGTTACATTTAAAAATATTAAATAGTAATATATTTTAACTTCCCCAAATTCACGGAAGATACGTTAAGTACTTCTATTTGTTGCAAGCCCTTTGACAAGTTATCTTAGAGCTTTATAGATATCCTATCTTGAGGATAACTAAATTGTTTTCTAACTTAAATCGTGGACTGCTACGATGTAATCGGAGACTACCATACGGAAAAAAAAATGTGTGCACAAGTTCAAGATATTTGCTGGGTTATGCAAGTTTTCCTCCATATACACACAACATGTTAACCTCAATCCTGTTTTTCGGTCTCCCCTCTCCGCCCCAGGAGCTACCAGATTACAAGTTGGCGGACAGCAGCTGCGGAAACCTGGCGGTGACAGGGAAGGAGACCTAGCAGTTCCGTCCAACCCTTTGCCCACCCATCTGCAGGCATCTCTCACAGTTTGCTCTTACACCGGGTCCTCTGCCCGGCCCTTTGCCCATTGATTTGCAGGTTCTCCTCCAATGCATTCTTCCACAGGGTGCCCCGCTTGATGTTATCGAAAACTGCCAGGAGCCCAGCGCCTGCGGCGCCCAGCAGCTCCCGCCCAGACCCTTCAGGGCTGCACCTGCCGAGGCCCCACCCGAGACTTCAGCCCGGCCTGGCCTCAAGGTCCCCTCCAGACCCCAGAGCAGCTTCTGGGCACCTGGGCAGGAGGGGGCTGAGCAGGGCGGGGAATGGATCCCGCTCCTCGAATTCCCTCGCGCCTTGGCTTCCCTTTCTCAAGACCCCTTGAGGGGCAGCAGCTCTGGTCCCATCTACCAAGGACGAGCATACTCTGGCCACCCCCGCCCTCGGACAGCTTCGCTACTCACCGGCTTCCACCCGCGGGGTGCTCTGCAGCAAGGGCGTCCTATCTGAGCCCTCCTCGCCATCGCTGGAGGCCAGGCCCCGAACCGGGGACCTCATGACGCCTCCGAGGAGCAGGCGTGCGATACCTGCAGAAAGGAGAGCGGCGGCCGGACAGCCGAAGGCCTGGGCCGCGCGGGCACAGCCCCGGGCCTGGCACCGCCCCTCGGCTGCGTTCGTCACCGCGGCACCGCCCACAGGCGGCTGCACCGCCTCCTCCGCCGCCGCCATCTTAGGTGCGGGCAACTCTGGAGCGGTTGGGCGGGGGAAAGCAGAATTCTGGGAGTTGTGGCCTGGCGGGGCGAGGTCAGTGTTTTCTCGGCCCTGGGGCTCTGGGCTTGTCGGATCGTCGGTGTTCTGAGGAAAACCCCTCTTGCGCTCCCTTGTAAAGCTTAGGGGCTGCTCCTGCGGGACCCGGATTGAATGGGACCCTTCAGGAGGCAACGACTTGAATCGCGCATAATTAAGGGGAGGGCTTGGAGCAAATTTAGAAGTGGGTGGTGTGTATTTGACGTTCATTCGTCAGTAGTAAATTGCCATGAATATCAGCAATCCTGGTACTATCTACCCGCCCAGCATATTGTCCCTAAAGTAGCTTTTGAGGAGGAAAAAACTGAATGGACACACATTGTTCGTTCCTATGAAATAGCTGATTTTGTGGGTCAAAAAAGCCAATGTTGTCAGTTTCACATGATTCAATTTATAGAATCCTCTAATATGTGTGTGTAATGTCTCCCTAGTTCTAATTCGAATAGCAACTTCTGGCATTTGCTGACTCTGGGAAAGAGTAAAAGGGACCAGTCTGCCTAGGGGGGTGGGGTGGGGAATTGGGGGATGGGGCAGTGGGAGTGGGACGGAGGTGGGCCTGCGGTCCTGACCACAGGCCACAGGTTTCAGTTGAGCTGTTATCGTGAGTAATAAAGTCCTGGAGAAAGGAAAAATAAGATGTGGTAGATGACCTTGGGGAGTTCAGTGTAGTCGGGGAAGACTCACAGACCAGTAAAAACCAGGTCAGGGGCTTGGTGAGATCCATGAGGGACCGAATGGGAGGGTTAACCTTACCCAGCACGGAGGGTGAAGATTTCTGAGGTTCTCTCTCACCTCCAGATCAGTAAATGCCAGGAGAGTTACCAAGTGAAAACAACAAATCAAGCCTTGTTTCTGAGTTACTGAAATGACAATGCAGATTCTAAGCTCTTCAAGAGGGGTAGGGGGTGGGATTCTGGCCTTTTTGGAGTCTTCTACAGCAATGCCACTCAAACTTGACTATGAGTGAAATTACCCCGCAGAGCCTCTTAAAATGCGAATTCGGATCTATCAGCTCTGGTGTGACAGTTAATTTTATGTGTCAACCTGCAGGGTGTTTTGGATGAGGTTAACATTTAAATCAGTGAGCTCTGGCTAAAGCAGATTGCCCTCTATAATGTGGGTTGAATTTATTCAATCTAAGGCCTGAATAGAACAAAAGACCCCACTCCCCAGCCAAGGGGTAGTTGTCCAGCAGACTGCCTTTACACATCATTTGCAACACAGTCTCTCCTGGGTGTCTATGCTGCAGGTTCACACTGCAGATTTGACTTCCCAGCTTTCATAATTGCATGAGCCAATTCCTTATATAACTCTCTCTCTCTCTCTCTCTCTCTCTCTCTCTCTCTCTCTCTCGGTTCTGTTTCTCTAGGAAACCCTGACTAATACATCTGGAATGGGCCTGAGATTCTTCTGTATTGCTAAGAAGCAATGAATAACAAGTTTATAGAAGACTTGGAATAAGGATTCCAACATATATGAAAAATTTCAAACCAGAAGAGGCCTCCCCCGTTTTTAAAAATATGCTTTTTATTTTAAGAGTTTTAGGTTTATAGGAAAGTTGCAGAGATAGTACAGTGAGTGCTCTCTACTCTTTACCTGGTTTGACCTCTTAAGATCTTACAATACTTTGATATGTTGGTCACAGCTGATTAGCCAATATTGATAGGTTATTAAACTGAAGTTCATATTTTATTCAGATTCCTTTAGTTTTTACCTAATGTTCTTTTTCTGTCCTAGGATCCCATCCAGGATAACACTTACATTTAGTCACTGTGTCTCCTTAGGCTCCTGTAGACTGATGGTTTCTCAGACTTTCTTTGTTTTTGTTGACCTTGCCAATTTTGTAGAGTACTGGTAGTTTTTGTAGAAAGTCTCTCAGTTTGGGTTTGTTTGATGTTTTTCTTGTAATTGGACTGGGGGAAGACTGCAGAGGTAAAGTGCCATTCTCATCCTGTAATTTCAAGGGAATGTGCTGTCAATATAACTTATCACTGATGATTATCACTGGTGATGTTAAGCTTCATCACATGCCTGAGATCATGTTTGTCAGCTTTCCCCCCCTGTAAAGTTACTCCTTTTCCCCTCTTTTTTCTTTGGTAGAAGTCAGTAATGCAGCTTACACTTAAGGGATAGGGGAGTTATTCTCTAAGTCTTTGAAGAGCAGAATTCTTTTGTATGGGAGATTTGTGTATTCTCTCATAGTCATTCATTCATTCATTCATTCATTCAAGTATTTATCTATATTACAGGCCCATAGTTATTTATTTTATACTTTGGGTTATAATGCAACACTATGTTCCTTATTTTGTTGCTCAAATTGTTCCAAGTTGGTAATTGGAAGATCTTTCAGTTGGTTCCTGTGTCCCTTTTGCATGTCTCCATTGTTGTGTTTTGTTTTTATCTCTACCTTACTTTCTGGTTTAGTAAGATGTTTTAAGGGCTTCTCTGTGGCTGTCAGTTGAGCATCTGACTCTTGATTTTGGCTCAGGTCGTAATCCCAAGGTAGTGGGATCAAGCCCCACGTTGGGCTCTATGCTGAGCATGGAGCCTGCTTAAGATTCTCTCTCTCCCTCTGCCCCTCCCCATCTCTCTCTCTCTCTCTCAAAATAAACAAACAGATTCTAGGCTCAGCCTGTATAGCCTCTGCTCCTGCCATTTCTCCAAAATGAATGTTAGAAATCAAGATGGTGCTGGATGTATTTCTTGCTACTGCATTGTCATTGACTCTAAACCCAGAGAAAATACTTTTGTGTTGTTTTATAATGTTCCAGAGAGAAATTAAAAAAAAAAAAAAAAGCATAAGATGGCATCTTTTTTTGCCTTCATTTCTGGCATTTACTTCCTGATTGCTCACTACCATAGAGGATTGTTGTCAATGTTATTTATTTATTTTTTGGTTGGTAATTCCTTGTTTTACCAACACTCTAAACTGATGCTTTGAAGAGAAATATAGTGAAAGCTACATATATAATTTAAAATTGTCTAATAGCTACATTAAAACAAACTTAAGAAACAAAAAAGGTGAGATGAATTTTATACTATATATTATTTAACACATTATATCAAATTTTATCAATTCAACATCTAATCAATATAAAACTATTAGTGAGATATGTTACACTCTTTTTCTAGTACTAAATCTTCAATATCTCTGTGTATTTTGCACTTATAGCACATCATCATTAGGATCGGCCATGTTTCAAGCATTCAGTTACCACATGTGGAGTGGGCACCATATTGGACAGAGCAGCTCTAGACCATATGAGGGTTTATTTTTCCCTCATGCCTTTAATTTTTTTTTTTTTTAAGTTTATTGTGAGACACAGAGAGTGCGGAGGAGGGGAAGAGAGAGAGGGAGAGAGAGAATCCTAGGCAGTCTCCATGCTGACAGTGGGGCCTGAAGTGACAAACCGTGACGTGAAGTCATGACCTGAGCCTACACCAAGAGTTGGATGTCTAACTGACTAAGCCACCCAGGTGCTCCCAGAATAATGTCTTTGGATAGGGAAAACAAAACAAAACAAAAAAGACATCTGGGCAGAGTGCCAAGTTCAAAAGATTTTAGCTGTTTTCCTCCTCCATAAACTGAAGATAATAGTAGAAACAACCTCATAGGGTTTTTGTAAGGATTAAATAACGTAATGCATATACATCACAGTACATGGTAGGTAGCAAGTCTCAATATATGTTAGCTATTACAATTTTTATTGTTAAGTTTGTTTTGCAAAATGAGCTTACCCATGCTAGGAACTCCCTTTGACTTTCATTATACCTTTTTAAAAATACATATCACATTCTGTCTGGAGTTATGTAGTTAGTAGTTGGCTGTGTAACTGTCTTAGCTCTCTTTTAAGACTTTGGGTTTCCTAGGAGCTGGGACCACATCTTATTTACCTTTGCAGGCTATGCAGCTCCTAGCATCTGTTCTTTCACTGTGCTTATCATGTTTCACAGTGCCTTATTATTTTGGCCTTGGTGAGACTACTAAGGTGAGAATTACAAGTAGATAGAAATATACAGGGAGTAAAAATTTGAATGGAGGACAATATTTGAACCACTAAATTTAGAAATATTAAACCTTATAATAATTTTTGGATGAACAGTGTGGTCCTATAAAATCATCATTTCTTTTTCCTAGCTTTTTCTCTAAAAAAATAATCAGTAATTATCATGATTATTGAATTGTATTGGTAATTGAAATGTTTTATTCAATATTTTGTTTTGTTTTGTTTTGCCAAACTTGACAATCATCTGAGAATTGATTTCTGAGGGTTAATTTATAAATTCTTTGTCATTTTATGGGTTTGAATCTCTAGGATTTAGTAATTATTTTCTTTAAATTGTATCACATTATTATTTATAAGAAACTCTTCACCATCTGGAGATCTTTTTCTCATACAGTTATGTGAGTTAAATTCCACTAACCATTTTTTTCTCATATCTTTATAACTTATACAAAGGTATCAACTAAACTTAGTGACTTAGGTATAATTATTTAAGGAGGGATGTTAAAATATTTTTAAAAGATATGATTGATAGAAAAATTTCCATTAAGTCTAAGGTTTCAGGGTGCTTTGGTGGCTGTCGGTTAAGCATCCGACTTTGACTCAGGTCATGATCTCATGGTTTGTGGGTTCGATCCCTGCATTGGGCTCTGTACTGAGAGCTCGGAGCCTGGAGCTTGCTTCAGATTTTGTGTTTCCCTCTCTCTCTGCCTCTTCCCTGCTTACACTTTGTCTCTCTCTCCCTTTCTCTCAAAAATAAAT